GGGTCGTCGTGAGGCTCTGTCGATTCGCGGACCTGGTCCGCTAAGGCGCTCTGTTCATCTGCTACACCATCTACTGGAGTAAGCTTCTCGGGTGCTGGACCGATCTCCGCAGGCACGAGAACCGAGCCCTGACTCTCCAAAGCCACGCCCGTTGAAACGGCATTAACAAGTGGCGGCGCGACTATCTTGCGGTCTTCCTCCTCTTCCCGGGGAGCCATGGCAGTGATGGCAGGGCCCAGCTCAAAATTTGTCGTGTTTCCTCTCCCCATCACGTAAGGCGTCCAGACCAGAGCCTCTTCGTGGAGTTTGACGTACTGCTTAGCATCCCACTTCGACACGTACTCTCTACAGTACGCAAGGTCTAGCCGAAAGGAATATAGGGCCAGTCTTGGCATCCCGAATTAAGCACCTCAGTCCCTCAAGTGCTGAGATAAACGTCATCGGGGGGTGAGTCCTGTGTCGTCTGAGATCTGACGGAAACTCAGTCCAACCGGGCTCCCTCGGTCTTCACCACCACCATCCCATCTTTTCAGCAGATACTGGCACATAACGAGCCGCCAGTAATTTCTGTACGAGACAAGACCCATGTCAGATAACGGCTTCTCCGGAGAGCCGGTTTTTTTCTCTACGCGTGTCAATAGGTAGGAGAAGTCAATCAGAAGGTTGCCGTAGCCCTTGCGCTGGTGGATCGGCAGTGTCAAGATGCAAGACACATTGTTCTGGCTGCTGGCTCGCTTTTCTTTCGAAAAATACCCGACAAAGTGGTAGCCCAGATCATCGTACTCGCAAAGTACGTAGAACAGAAAGGGCTCAACGTCGTAGTAGAGGGTCTTCGAGCCGAGGAATAATTTTGCGAGCAGACAGAGGTTCTGACAATAGACCGGGTTCTTGCGCCCATCCACCTCAAACACAGAAATGGACCCGTGCCTGTAGATCTCGTCTCCGGGAGGGTGTTTAGCCGGGCACTTGAGCTTATGGCGCCATGCCACGTAGTCAGAGTTCATGTACTTGAGGCAGAATTCGCAGATGTACAGAATCCGATTCCTGCTGTACTCCTCGGGGTAGGGTGCTGCATACCACGTGTCGATTTCCCAACCGCCAAACTCGATGCACTCGATTTGGCTAGCCGGACCAGCCGCTTTTTTACCCTTCTTGGCCTTTTCAGCGCCTTCGCGGCTGATCTGGATGACGTGCATAGTCCTCCATTCTTCCTCAGCCTTTTGCTTGGCTTCGTCAAAGCGTCTGCGGTCATCATTCGTGGGTAACGTGCGAGACGTGTCAGCTTCGACGTCAGTAAGAATGCCGCCATAGGGCTTTGTTCTTATATCGTCCGTCTCTCGATCAAGGAAGGAGTAGAATGGCTGAGAGCTACTTGATGACATGAATGGCGTCGACAGCGCTGTGAGGCTCGGTCGAACTGATCGCGCCGGCTCGTTCCTTGCCGTCCGTTTACGATTTGAAGATGCTTTGGACACCATGATATGTCGTAAGCCGGCAGGGTTTACACGGATGCTAATCAGCATGCTATTCGACCGCCTGGTGATAGTGACGGCGGCATGATTCCGAGACACCTTGAGGCGCAACTTTCGAGGTTTGTCTGTCTCACCAGCCTCGCTTTGAGCGTTGTGAGACGTGGTTTCACGCGACGAATGTTGTTCTTCAGGCGTGCGCCGCCGACGCTTACGAAGCAACATTGCACTGTCGTCGGGTTCAGAGAGAGAAGTTCGGCGTTTTCGAAGAAGTCGTGCATGTTCATCGTCATCGCCATCCACATCGGGATATTCTTGCTTGTCCAAAACGTCTTGATCATCGTGTATATGCGAATCAGATGTCTCCAGAATGGGTTGAGTTTGGTTAGGAACAGCGCCAGTTGTAGGCACCAATGGTTGGGTCGTTCCATTAGCTAGGTGAGTGACAGCAGGTTCGGCGGTCAGCTTTGTAGACGAGACGCAGCTCGGACAGCTCCAAAGACTTGCATCTACGCTCAAACATTAGTACTGGCACCTTAAAGCTGTCAAATTGGTTACTGCTCAAAGAAAACAGCCGCATACCATCGTGCGATCGCAAAGCACCGGTTTCTCGCGCGCAAAATTGATGTGCTGGAAAATGTCAGTATGCAGAGTCTCGTCTTTGGTGTCAAACGCACAGTTCTCGCCACAATGAGAGCACATTAGGTAGTCCTCAAAGTCTTCGCCCGGGTCATGTTCTTCATCCTGTTTGCAGAACAAGCACAAAGTTCGACCTGCAGCACCTGACTCTTCATCCTCATCTTCGTGACTTTCTGGGGCATCCTCCCAGGCAGCTGCGCCGTCCGAGTCTTCCGAGCCATCGGTAGTTGAATGTGATTGTTCGCTATCGACATCATCATCTTCGTCGTCGGTGTCGCCAGGCCGGATTTTCACAGCGCCAACGCCTTCGTCATCGTTGTCTTCCTCATCTTCACCAGATTGCACACTCTCTGTGGACTGTTCAACTGCTTCGCCGACGCCGTCATCTTGATCCATGTTGAGCTGCACAACATGCTCGACATCTTCCTCCCCTTCAGCATCGTCCTCATCGTAGTAGGGGTCCACAATTTCGTCGGCATCTGCAGCGCCGTCATCTTCGCCCGGGGCGTCCTCCTCTCCTTCCGCATCATCTTCGATAGACTCAGCATTCTTAGAGACCAAGGTCGCTGTAGGACCGCCGGGTCTTTCGATTGTCGAGTCTTCCAAGCCATTGACGTGCAGGTATGACTGCTTACCGGACCCAGTTCTCGAGGGTTCCGATGTATCGTCCTGATTTTGATAAGGTAACATTGCCGCGTTCGAGGAGTCCGATTCATCGCGCTCCAGGTCCTCCTCAGAAACCACAACGCTTTGTTGCAGCTCCTCTTCAGCTGCTAGCTGGGCACTCGCCATTTCGGCTGGCTTTCAAGCTGGTTCTGTATCCGATGCGTATTATGACCGAGTTCGCGGGTCTAGTGAAAAGTTCGAAGAGCTCAGAGGCAGTGTCGGTGGCCCATTTCAGGGCGCAACAACGCGGTCTTGAAACGCGCCTGTCGCGTGCGAACAGAGTGCCAGGGGCGGCGGGTGGGCTGTCTTTGCAGGAACGCAAACTGTAGGTCCTGTTCGGTTTGCCGAGTACTACTCCTAGGATCTGAGATTACGAGCCAGGGAAACTAACAGTGAAAAAGCTTATGGCGCCCGGGAGCTGGTGTTGAGAAGTAAAGCTAATTCCACCGAAGCTGGTGTTGTTGCTTTAGACAGTCCATTAATGTGCGACACACTGTGCACACCCCGTGGCTTTGGACTGGTCGTTCAGATAAGGCCGTATTCGTAAGATAACGCTGGAAGTTCCAAAACCGTCAGTGAAGACTCAATTAATTAGATTGGAAGTTGATGTATGGTCACGTGCTGAGCTGATCACGTAAGGATCCCTTGGCATGTATGCAATGTTCGACCACTAAGATGCTTTCCATTGGGACCTCACTTGAGATATCGCAACAACCCTTCGATCAACGCAACGTACCAGTGGCATTTACGCCGCGCGACACTGCACCTAGACCATTCGCAAATAGTCAATTGGCGGCAAGACCGCAAGGCAGGCTCACGGTCGTCTCAACATCTCCTCCCCATAGCGACACATTGCAGCAGCCAACAATCATGCCTGTTCCTTTCGAGACATTGATCCCTTACGGGATCATCGTTGCGGTATGCAAGGCCAGAGATTCGTTCTGAGTGATGACTCTGATACCTGTCACAGATGTTTGGTATCACTGGCACTGGTCTAGCCGTTGTCAAGGGTATTCAGAATGGTGGCAAGAAGCCTCGGTACAGTCTCGACCAGTGGGACAAGGTACGTTTTTCCCTACCATGACGTGTTCAGGACGGACCATTGCTGACCGCTCCATAGCAAAGTAAGGCCGTTATTACGATACTCCATCCTATCGCATGCAGCTAATCCGACCGCTTGTACAGTGATGGATCGTGACCGTCGCTTAACGGGCAACCTTAGAGGACAGACGGACAATCCTGTCGCTCCGACCGGTTTCGAACTCAATAACCCATGGAGAGTGAGCTGAGCCCAGTTCTTCTCACCTTCTGAAAGAGGAACACATTGCTGACAGCCTAATTACAGCTAGAAAAGAGGATTTCGTAAGCTATTCAGGCAGACGAACAAGTTGGGGGCGATGGGCCGGGCAGAGCTTTGGTGGTTCTTCGCGATCACTTATGGCGGGTCTAGAAATGCAGCCGAACATATCGATTGAGAACTTGAGACTGAGAGCAAACATCAAGTGCCACAGGGCAATTTATTTGTGCCATTGCGGATGCAGGCAAGACGTACAAGTCAAGGTTGGGCAGTAACATAAAACCCTGGGATCCAATGATTAATGCCATAATCTTGTATACACTATTTCTTGTTAAGGTGGTTGACTGAGCTACTTGTTTCCTATTTCCAATCTGGGCCTGTTCTTGTTGAGACTGTCAACCAGGAGACAAGCTTGACAGTAAGCTTGGCTGGTCATGTAACCACATCGCTTGCACTTTCCTAGTACTTGGAGCTCGCTCATCGTGTCCGTGATGGATGAGGCTTCCTTTCTCGTAGCCCCATTCGCTTGTGTCTTGGTTTTATTGTTTTTCGTGAAGGTGAAATCAACTTCTGAAGCCTTCTCCACAGCGGCTTCGCTAGACTTCGCTTCGATGACGGCGAGTTGGCTTCCCATGCTGTGGCCCTGTTTGGAACCACATGATGGCACATCGTCATCTTCGGTTGAGCCTTGGCCTGAGCAAGCGCAGGGGTTTGATGATGACCCGGGAACGAGGCGTGCCATATCCTCCCCACTTCTGACAATGTCGAGTATTGCACTTGGCCTCACACGCTCGAGATTCTTGATCAAACTTCGGGCTGTGCCTCTGAACGCCTCTGGGCTGTAGATACACTCGGTACTAAAGTAGTCAAGCTTCTTGTGGTGGGCATACAAGACGATTTCCTTCTCGTACGAGTACTTGAGAGGCTTGCTCCTCTTGACGTCACTACTGTCGTCACCCGTCATGATGCTTGTACTCCGGGACAGTCGCGGCAAGTCACCCCTCAAGAGGTTCATCAAGATTGTCTCAGCGATATCGTCCGCATTGTGGCCGGTGACCAGATGCCGAATGCCCAGCATTTTCGACCCTCGATCTAAGGCTTGCCGGCGGAAAACGCCGCAGTAGGTGCAATTGCCTTTCTTGCCCACGGTACCCACAACTTGGTCCATCGTCCAGCCGTATAGCTCATCGTAGCCCACAACGGTCAGGGGCATGTCGTACTGTATGGCATTTCGCTTGACAGTCTCCAGAGAATCGTCACGGTACCCTTTGATTCCTTCATCAATACTGAGAAGAATCAGGTCAAGTCCGTAATCGTGACGCTCGTTAAGAGTTTTGAGGACTGATGCAAGGACAGTCGAATCCTTGCCACCAGATGCCCCTATGGCCACTCTATCACCCCTACTGAACAGCTTTGAGGACAAGATTGTATGATGCACCTCATCCTCGAACACCGAGATGAAACACGCCTTGCAAATTTTTTGGTGATTCTTTGGTCTCTTAACAACAGCTCGGTCAGTGTTGCACCTGGCGCACATGATCGGCGCCATCTTGCCTTTTTACTACTTGAGTGATGACTCGACTTCGATTTTGGTGGAAGGCCCGCTGGATATTTATGACGCTGACACAACCAGGCTGAAGGTTGAGAGGGCGTGGAGATAACTTAGATGGCTTCGGCCCCAGTTCGACGAGGTGTTTTGGCGAGCGCAAGAGATTGCATTGAGACAAGGCAAAGGGTTATTTCTCGGTAAGATAGCCTCTAACCAAGCATCAGTCTGCAGCCCGCATGCCAGAAGAACCGTTTCCAGACTCTACAGACCTTAGGTAATGCTCTGTAGTGATTCGTTCACATAACCTACAGTGGGTAGGTACCTAAGGTACCTACCTGACCGAGAGACGGCACGGGTATCACGTGAAAGGAAGGCCCCCATGCGCCACAACCACCTCACAGCAACCCTAGGCGGCAGAGAGTACGTACCTTTTTTTTTCCTCCATGACCCCACCCACAGCTTTAGCGCAATGAATATTTCCCACCAAGTCACTTGAATAAAATTCGCACGCACTTTCACCACCGTCGTTCCCTCCTCCCACTAACCGACAATCGCCAACCGCAGGAACAACTGTCACAATGGTAAGTTGAAACAATGTCGAGCACTCTGGGCTCACATCATTCCAAGCTCGTCGAGCATAGCTTTCGGTTTTGCTTCGGCAGACCGAATCATTCCGCCTGCATAGTTCAGTAGAATGCAGTTCTGCTGGACTGGGTGATGATATGGCTTGAGGCGTTCGATGAGCACATCCGTGCAAATTGTCGTCTCTTTAGAGCTCAAGAAAGACAACGTGGTCTGAACAAGTCGCTGATGTCTTTCTTCCTCAATGATAGCCTCCCAAGTCCGGCAAGAAGGTGGCTGCTGCCCCTTTCCCTCAGGGAAAGGCTGGCAAGAAGGGCCCTAAGGTAAGACCTGTCACACTATGACCCACGCTTCCTGCAAAATGCTAATCATGATGACTTCAGAACCCTCTCCTCGAGCGCAAGGCCCGCAACTTCGGCATTGGTCAGGATATCCAGCCCCGCCGCAACCTGTCGCGCATGGTGAAGTGGCCCGAGTATGTCCGTCTTCAGCGCCAGAAGAAGATCCTCAGCATGCGCCTGAAGGTCCCTCCTGCGATTGCTCAGTTCCAGCACGTCCTTGACCGCAACACCGCCGCCCAGGCTTTCAAGCTGCTCAACAAGTACCGCCCTGAGACCAAGGCCGAGAAGAAGGAGCGCCTCGTCAAGGAGGCCACTGCCGTCAAGGACGGCAAGAAGAAGGAGGACGTCAGCAAGAAGCCTTACACGGTCAAGTACGGCCTGAACCACGTCGTCGGTCTGATCGAGAACAAGAAGGCGTCGCTGGTCCTCATCCCCAACGATGTTGACCCCATTGAGCTCGTGATCTTCCTGCCGGCTCTCTGCCGCAAGATGGGCGTTCCCTACGCTATCATCAAGGGCAAGGCTCGTCTCGGAACCGTTGTCCACAAGAAGGTATGAGCGTTCAGCCGGAAATGGTTTATATTCAACTACTAACACTAGCGACTAGACTGCCGCCGTTCTGGCCGTTACTGAGGTCCGTTCCGAGGACAAGAGCGAACTCTCGAAGCTCATTTCCGCCGTCAAGGATGGCTACCTGGAGAAGACCGAGCAGTCGAGGAAGCAGTGGGGTGGTGGTATCATGGGCCAGAAGGCTCAGAACGCCATGGCCAAGAAGAAGAAGGCTCTCGAGTCGGCCATCAAGGTCTAAGACATCGAAATACCCGGTTTTGCTTTTGCGCGATAGGAAAAGTCAGCAGCAGCAGCAGCTCGATTACGCTGTTACTGCTGTCAAGGCATCTTTGCCTCTCCTCAAGAGGCAGGCAGTATGGCAAATACACACAAAGGCATAGGAGTCACGGTTCACGAGTCAATGCTAGTATTCTCTGTAACCTGCATGACCCCAGGCGAACCTTGAGACATGTTGATGTAACTTCTCTCCGTGATGCTAGGCTGCGCTCTCAGGAGGATGCAGCCATAGGCATATCAGTTTGACTAGAATTATCATGCACCCACAGGCCAGTCAAGTAAGAGCCAACTGTTAAGGTGTTGCTTCACCTGTTTCAGGACAGGGACATTAAAGTGGTGGTGATAGCCCTTGGCGATGTGCTAGGTGATTGATTTGCGTTTCAGAACCTGGAGGTGGGTGGATTAGGATGCTCTGGCTCGTTCAAGCCATACAAATCATGAAAAAGGCAGCATCAAATTCCGGATGGGGTTCGGACGCTTGGCTACACGGGGACCTCTCGTGTTCCCTGGTCCTGAGTCTAGATTTCAAACACAAAGGGGGTAGCTATTGATGATACATGTTCTCCTGTCTGAGGCTTAGAGTGATTGTCACCTGGGCAGGGCGCTCCCGATGCCTCAACTTCTGTCCCAGACATCTGTGACTGATTTCGATACCGGACGACGCTTACACTCTGCTCGTGTTCTTTGTCCTGGCCAACTTGCCACCAGCCTAGCCAAAAGTTAAGACCTTGACGCCTGTATGGCGTCGAGCAAAGGTGAGGCAATGTAGCACGCCCCAAGCCCTCAAATCATTGCTCATAGGCCCAGACACTTTAACATATATGTTGGGTTCCTTCCAGCCCCAGGCGGGCTACAAAACCGGCGAGAAGCCTGCTGTTTTGCAATCTCAGGCCGATAGTCAGTTGCCATCCATTTGTAAGTCGTCTCTCGTTGTCATAAGATTCCGGTTCCGAAGGTAAGGGCGGAGTCTTCGGACACAGCATACCCTAGAAGCGACATATTGAGGGCAGGACTGACTCCCGTGACAGTGTGGCTCGAGTGCTCAGACTGCCGCATCCCAGCGAGCAACATATCAGGCCTACATCCTAACGACATACTCACACACCGCAATGTGGGCAACATTATCTCGCCCTTAGACATCAGCACCTCGGCAGTCATCGAATTTGCAGTCGCGCATCTCGCTGTCAAACACGTCGTCATCTGTGGCCACTCGGAATGTATGGGGATGCAATCAGCTATGGCTCTGAAGCGTGTAGGCGGCACTTTGGACACTTGGCTCGCACCGCTGAGAGCAATTCGACAGCAGCTGTCCAACGAGCTCTCGTATCTGCAGGATGACGGCGCCCGAGAGATGCTGATTGCCGAAAGGAACGTCGAGGACGGCGTGGCAGCACTGTTGGCCAACGTCACAATCCAAGAACACATAGCAAGTCGAAATCTTCAGGTCCACGGCTATATGCTGGATGCCCCAAGTGGCCGGATCCGAGACCTCGGACTTGGACCTAAATCGAGCATACTTACAGCCATTGCCAACCCTCCGCATGAGATAATTCGTGGCAACTATGCGCAACTCATATTTGAAGAAGACGGGACTGCGACAATGACAGCCAAGTAGCGCTGTGCGAGAAACTCGGGTTATGGCGTAGCAAACATCATGCTGTACAGGCAAGCTGAGGATGGATTTGAACCCGCGAAGAAAGACCAGTGGGGATCTTTGGGCATCGTGTCAGTCTATCAGATCAGGAGGCTTAACGCATGAGTATTGTTTTGCTATGTGTTGGTCTGCGTCCATTACTATCGCCTCATGTCCTGTGCTGCAAGAAAAACGCTCCGAAACAAGCGAGTTGGTCTTTTATTGGCGAAGAGGCGCTCTAGAAGCGTTCCAAAGCTTAGCCAAACACCAGCTTGAAGATGTCGTTAAAGACAAAGTAGTTGCCCGAAGGGTCCCGCATGAGCTGGAAGGTCTGAGAAAAGTTCATGGGCGCTGCTCCTCATCCACCTAGATAGAACCCAAGTAAGGCCGCGTCAGTCTTTGTATAGAGATATTTGGTTGATCAGCAAAAGCTTGCACACGTACAAGAAGTTGGCCGGTAATGAGAATGATGATACCGCCCTCAACGGTGGGCTGGGAGTCAAGAGTAGAAACCTGGTGCTTCACCTTCTCGAAAGGCAACGAGGAAAGCTTCTCGGTGATGGGGGTGGCACCCAGAACGGAACTGCTCTCAAAGGTGAGCATGGACTGCTCGCGCTGTTTGAATGTACATGTTAGCCTTTGATGTGGTTGTTGAAGATGCAAAAGTGAACCCACGTAGAGGCTGGTCAGTCCCTTGCGATCAGAATCAAACTGGTTGTAGTAGAACTCGACGAATTGCTCTGTGCAGGAATGATCAGTTGCCGGAGTTGCCTATCGTATTGGTATTTTCTTGCACGTACTCGCGACCTCTTCGAAGTCTACAAATTGCGCGTTAGCCCCGGGTAACCGCAGTGGGTGAAGCGCGAACACCAAGTCGCATGGAGGGTTGGGCTAACTTACTGGGAGTTGACATGGTAAAGGATTCCTATGGCTTGGTTTATGAGTATCAAGCGTGTGCGTTGTCGAACCCAGTAAGGAAATATGGTCTGAAGCACCGGTCGTTGAGCAGCGGAATGGGTTTGCGGTCAGGCTGCGACGTGATTAGAAGGAGGGGTTGATCAGGTCCCGCTCATGTACCAAGGTGTCGCAAAAATGCTAATGGTGGCTGGAGCATCAAGGACTGGGAGAGGCCCCTCACCCGGGCATGCTCCCCTCTCTAAATGAGCGCCTGAGGTACCTAACCAAGGTACCCTGACCAGGTAGATTGCGTATGTCGCTTTAGTACATGAATGGCGGGGTCTTTATTTGCTTACTGCACCCCTCAAGTTTCTCTTGCTTCTAAGGGGGCTTACCAGGGGCCTTAAAAACTTGCAATCAAATCCAGGCGCTGACAAGAATCTCTCTTTGTCTACAAACATCATCGCCATTCTGCCTTTGGCTAACCACTCACTATACAGTCGACTTTTTTTCAAATACAGGTAAGTCTAATATGAAAGCGTCTGCACTCTCTTCTTTCTCTTCCTTCCTGATGACACAATCTTCCATTAAGAACGGCCAACTGAACCCTCATGTTGATCCAATATATCAAGCTCAACAGTCTGAATTTACAACAGATGTTACTCCTATCTGCTTGGACACACCGAACGAAGCACTTGCTGATCAGAAGAAAACAGGTATTCGTTGGCGACACGTGTCGCAAGCAATATCCTTGGTCCAGCTGCCGCACAGCGGGACACGTGATGAAGTCGATGCGAGATGCTTGACGCGCACACTGCTGAAGTTTTGTTTGACATGAGCCTATACGAGGTCGTTGACCTTGCCTCAGATGATGTACATAGTAGAGAAGAATATAATTTGCACTCTTGATTCCATTGCGCATTTCATCTGTCTACGTGTGCACGAGCAAGTGTATGATACAAAATTACTCGCTGGTCAGGGTTGGCTTGAAAATGTCGTAACGTTCTACACCTTGGAGGAAAGCCACCCCTAGAGTGACTGTAGAATGCCATGTCGCGGGACAGTGGAATCAAGTGCCCTGTATTGATGCTCACAAGCTAAATATGAGCCATTCGTACGCAGGGTTAGTACCAAATTATACAGGCACTCATGAAGAAGTCTCGACTCAGTAATCCCAAATGTGTTACTGCAAGCAACAAGCTTATGGGCTCAACTTCTATCAGCGGAGACCAATTTAAGAGGTGTCGGTGTGGCAATATATACATTTGTCCGCAGTCATGAGCTTGTATCATCTGCGCCACGACAGCTTCGTGAGAGGGTAGTTCCTTTATATCATATCGTCATAGCAGCCAAGTCAGATGAAGAGCCTGCGAGCATTGAAGGGGCGCTTTCACAAGTCTTCCTCTACCTCCTCTCTCTTGTTGTTCGGCTGAGATGGCATGGTAGACTGTGCAACACTGTCATCCAACAGGGACGCAGCCAGGCCGAGAGGCGGAACCTGATCACCTGGACCCCGAATACTCGGACGCTGCTTCTTCATAGGGCTGCCGAAGACAGAGTTCGGTAGCGTCGGCTCAAGAACCGCTGCTGATTCCGACGTCAGACTGGCCGCCTGCGGAGCAATTGAAGCTTGCATGGCGGAGTCACCACCCGCGTTTGTGGTGTCGTTATCAGTGGCCACAGAGCCCGGATCCGCAGACAGGGCTCGCTTGAGCTGTTTCGAGGTAGTCAGTCAGTACGATGATTTGTCTTGCTAGGTTCATCATATTGGACAAACTTACACGTATACGGTTCACGCCGTCAGCAAGTTCACCCGAATATTGGCCATCCTCAGGCGTAACCTTTAAGCCGGAGGTCGTTTCTCTTCAATATCCTCATCTGCGAGGGACTCGCTGTCTTCATCGGTCCTCATCATCACTGTCGTCCTGC